TTTAACATGTCATACTTCTTACAGAGAGTGCCTGTAAATGGCAAACACCAGATTGTTGATGTCGTTGTTTTTGTTAAGCTACTGTATTTTAGCAGGAAGAAGCCATTAGGAAACATCAGAAACTCAAAGTGTGTTACGTGCACCACTGTGTGATGGTATTGATGCTTCTCTTGGTTTGCTCTGTTCAGTGCCTGTGGTTAGAGATGAGCATCCCTTTTCAAGGCTAGGGGGTGTGTGGGGAGGAGACACAAGCAGATAGAGGGCTCTTGGGGGTTGGGAATTATCCCAGGGAAGTCTCAGAGCAATAAAGAACCGTCTTGGTGGAGCTTGTCATTCTTGCCCACACTGCAGGGAGATCCGCTCACGCTGGGACTAAGTCCTGTCCAGGCTCAGCTGCTGAGTCAGCAGGAATCCTGCAAAGACCCGATTTGCAGAAGGATTGGGGCCAGATGAAGATAAGGACAGCAGGCCAAGGATGAGTGGGTGCTGGGGTGGGGGAGCCGGGGTGCTGCTCTGACCTGGTTCCCCAAGCAGCGCCAGGGCTATGGAGGAGGGGAGGGAGCAGAAGCTGTAGAAGCCTGGGTACAAGTGGCTTGGAGGCATCATGCCAGGCTGCCTGGGTGACCTATGTCCTGGATAACAGAGTGGGAAGGGTCAGTCCCCTTGGCCTCTAGCCAGGAGCCTGGGGCCACAGGGCCAGGCTGCAGGTAGCTGCGTGGCACTGACCGCAGAAGCTTCAACAAGCACCACCGTCCAGGGGCTGGCCAGCAGTCAGGGCTGGATCTGTGGGCACTGCAGGGGAGCACGGGCTCCCCCGGACATCAAGGAACCTTGCCTGAGGGCCAAAGTCCTGTATTCACTGGGAAATTGTGATTACTTTGTGAGCCCAGTTCTGCCTAGAGGCCCTTGCAGCCAGAGTTTCTTTGTACACCCCCCACCCTGAGCCCTTCAGCTCAACCAGCAGGGAAGCTTTTCATTAGACACCCCGATGTAGGGAGAGTCACAGGGGCTGCTGCCCTGGAGGCCACGCAGAGCAAAGTAACAGTGTGGCTTTGATTTGGGTCCACCTGGGATCACACTCGGCCTCCACGGCTTATTTGCTGTGAAGCTCAATGTGAATTTCTCTGTACCTCAGTTTCCTTCTCTATAAAATGGGGTTGATGAGGATAATAATGGTACCTAACTTGAAGGGCTATTGAAAGGATTAAATAAGTGAAGACATGTCATGTACTTAGCCTGAAGCCTGGCGTCTAGTCCCGGGCTAGTTCTATTAGAGAAGGACAGGAGCACCTTAGACATAGTGGTGTGGCTGGAGAAAGTGACGCTGGCGCATGCGCAAGCCTCAGCACCTTTGTACGTCTGTGACTGCAGCTTCCAGACCTGGAATAAGGAAAAGGGGCTATGCAGGGCTCACTGATACCAGGAGAGACAAAGGTCTTAGGCCCCACTTCTACACAAATATATTTCTGGGCCAGGCACAGTGGCTCACACCTGTAATCCCAGAACTTTGGGATCCACCTGGGGTCAGGAGTTCAAGACCAGCCTGACCAACATGGAGAAATCCCGTCTCTACTGAAAATACAAAATTAGCGAGGTGTGGTGGCACATGCCTGTAATCCCAGCACTTTGGGAGGCCGAGGCGGGTGGATCACGAGGTCAACAGATCGAGACCATCCTGGTCAACATGGTGAAACCCCATCTCT